CTATAAAAAACCGCCATTTTGTAAAAATGCTGGAAGAAAAAAAAATTTCCCCGGGCGGTTTCTGAAAGCTCAAACATAGGGACCGCGATTTCTGTTGATCGAATATTAATTTGAATGCCGCAACAAGAAAATAATCGAGAAAAAATAAAAAAACACCGGAAAAAAATCGGTCTTTTTTTTATTAAAACGCAAAATAAATAGGGTTGTTGACAATTTAAGATAAAACTGGTACCAAATTCTGAAAGAGCACGCTCAAAAACCCCCTAGGTGGTATTTTGGAAAAAGAAACCGCCTTTTTCTGTATGAGTCGGGCGCTTGAAATTGTGTGCACAAAAATGCGATTTTGCGCGTTAATGGGTTAAACCAGACTCTTGCTGTATGCTTTATCATTCACAGTCACGTTATCGTTTTGGAAGGAAATTGGAGAATTGCCTATGACATATGTATTTTCATGCAAGCGAACACCAAATGTCTTATATAAATTACTTTTCTGCTCAGATTAATGCAATAGTCGCACATAGTCTGCCATAATCGAATCATCCAATAGCTGTTGTCTTTGTTCTGTAGTTACATTTGAACTACTTTTGTTCAAATTTATAGCAGTTGTATCAAGTGATGATTCATCGGTCTTATGAAATTCATCATCTTCATCATAAATAGAAATAGCAGACTCAAATATAGTATCAAGCGGTTGCAATGTAGAATTTAATTCATTGGCAGTATATTGAAATATCGAGATTTGTAGGGAGTGTCAGCTGCTACTTCTGACTTGAAAACAGTATCGAACACAATTTTCTTTTCATTTTTCGTTGGTTGTTCAGTTGTAGTAGTAGTAGTAGTAGTAGTAGTAGTAGCGTTACTTTTATCAGTAGTTACCTCTACAAGTTTCTTCAATGGATCAACCATAGGTTTAAAAGTTTCATGCAATGTCTTTTCTAAATCAGCTTTACCGCGTTTTATTAGTTGATACTTGCCTCTTATGGCATCATGAGCCATGGATAATTGCTCGAGCACCTTCTTTTCTCTTTCAAAGTCAGCTATGTTTTCGCTTGTAATTTCTGAAGTTAAATAATCTTTATCCACTCACTTCGCTATATTTATAGCAAAAGAATCAAATCCCTTTCTATATCGTCCATGATTTATTGGTCTGTCTCTGTCGATCACCAAAAACCCATGATTATCGTCTCTCCAACATTTTGAACAAATTGCTTTCAACTTCTCAAAAGACATAATGAGTTAACGTGATTATTGTAAATGTGCTTAATATTCACTTCATCGTGTCGAAACAAAACAAGTAAATTCATATTATCTCGAATGAGATGCTTCGGAATGCGAGCGTACGATTGACAGAGATAGAAACTATCTACTTTTTTATGTCTTCCCATACAGAAGAATGCTTTTACGTTATTTTGCTTCTCAGTGGCTATATCGTCAAAAATTATGATAGAATATGGTCGTGTTTTGTCTGGTGAAACAACTGTCTCATGCTCTATACCATTAATAGGCTCTAATAAATCTTTCAAAAATTTATACTTGTGCTGATTAAGGGATTTTGAGTAGATATATACGTTATCAAATCTAAGACCATCAGGACGAGTGATTAATGTTAATAAACAATTAGTTTTTCTGTAGTTACTAGGTCCACAGAAAACGGCACGGATACTAATAGGCAACAGTTCGCCATGTCTTTTATCTTGTTTTTCCATCTCTACCACTCCATCGAAATTATTGATTTGAAGCTTAAGATTTTCTATGAAATCCATGTTGTTTACTCGTCATCGATACCTTAATGAATGAGTTTGTTAGATATAAAAAGACTGCTTATATATCTTTTATTTCATGAACATGTTGTCTTTCGAAGAAGTATGATCACGTACTATAAAAGAAAGACTAGTGGTAATCTAGTGAACAAGATTATAAATAACTTGCCTATTGCAGCTCACTTACCTGGATATCAGTATTGTGGTCCTAGTACAAAATTGAACAAACGATTGGCATATGGAGATCCTGGTAAAAATCCACTAGACTTTGCTTGTAAAGAACACGATATCGCTTATGCGCAAAATCTGGAGGATATTGCGTCAAGAAAGAAAGCTGACGAAATTCTAGCTAAAAAAGCTTGGGAAAGAGTGCTAGCTAAAGATAGCAGTTTTGATGGGATAGCAGCTCCCTACACTGTAGCCAACATTATGAAAGTTAAAAGTACAGTCGGCTCTCAGTCGTCTTAACGAGCAGACGTGTGTTACGAGTAGGCGTGTATCGTCATTCAGCTGAGTTTACTGTGTTTACTTTGCGACAGTGAGTTATTTTATGTTAGTGTGATTATTGTTTCGTGCTTCATAATAATCGACTATTGCCGCGAATCTCCGTTGTGATCTGTTCACGGTCCGTGTGACTACTTGCATTTAATCTAGTAATGGTTTCTATAAATGGAGGCTATACTACATCCCAAATTACCGAAAGTTCTTGCTCTCATAAAGTTTCTCCCTCTTACGCTCAAGCAACTTATCAACCAAAAAGTGACCAAGCAATAGTAATTGACGCTATTGATGGATTATCTATTGATGATTACATTTATGGTTTAGAAAAGATTACAGATGTCAACAATATCAAGTTTATGTCTAGAATTTCTGGAAGTCGTGTCTGTGATTTTTTTTCTTCAATAGAGATTGTTAACAGTCTAGTCAATCAATCAATTAAAGTCGGAGATCAAGAGCTTCAAATTCGTCCACTGATGGAAAGAAACAAACGCGTCGTTATCTTCAATGTAAATCCCATCATCCCAAATCAAGTTCTAATCAGTGCGCTAGAATGCAAAGGAATCAAACTTGTATCCCAAATACATTATATTCGAGCTAGTACAAGCAAGCCAGGACGCACTCACATGCTCTCTTTCCGTCGACAAGGATATATTAAGGATGAAGATGAGTCGCGTTTGCCAGATTCGCTCCAAATCAATTACAATAATACAAAGCACTAATTATAAAATCCTATGTGCGTGCGTTAGTCTTTAGGCCCATAAAAGACTGTAATCTTCTAGTCATAAACGATATTAATTTTATTCGCCGCATTACGTCAGTTTGTTTCCTATTAGTTTAAAGGATCTATTACGGATTAAATTTTAAACCGATTTTATCTAGGGGATTAGGTGGAGTAAGCATTAGGTATAGTTACATCTATAGTAAGATAGATCGAGTGTCACAAGTCTCGTGACTTAAAGTGAGTTCAACTCTGTTGGAAAGAAAACACTGAAACGAAAGTATCAAACGTAAAGGCGAATACACGTATATTCATGTGTTTAACGGAGCGGTGGTTAGCTCTGCATCGTGGGAGTTTGTGCTTTAATAAATTTTCTTTGTACTAGCTAATCTATCCCGTTACAGTTTATGTTTTTCAAAATAGTCGTTTGGTCTTTGATGTGTTAAATGATTTTTTTCCTTAAATCCTAATTTAAATATCGAAAATGTATCCGAATCAAATGTTGATTGACAGTATTTTTCTAAATGTACTTATGTATAAGTTATACGTCAAAACATGTAAAAAATATATATTTTATTGGTTTACTATTTCGACTGATAAAAAACTACTTTAACCTATTTTACCGCAAACGTTTTAGTATGAAGCATATACGAGGGTGGTCCGATAAGTACTTAGCCTACAAAAGAAAAACAGAAATTTTGGAAAAGTTGCGTTTTATTTTTTAACATAGTCTCCTTTTAGGTCGATACACTTGGCCCAGCGATGCTCCAACTTCTTTAACCCGTCTGAAAAATACGTTTCCTCGAGGTCTGAAAAGTAGGCTTCCGTGGTAGCGATTACCTCCTCATTCGACTCAAATTTCTGCCCGGCGAGTGACTTTTTCAAGTTTGGAAACAAAAAGAAGTCTCACGGGGCTAAATATGGAGAATACGGTGGATGGAGCAGCAGTTCGTAGCCTAATTCGACCAATTTGGCCATGGCGACGGCGGAGGTGTGAGCTGGTGCGTTGTCATGGTGGAAGAGCACTTTTTTCTTCGCCAAATGGGGCCGTTTTTTCTGCAATTCGACGTCGAATCGGCCCAATAATTCGGCATAGTACAGCCCTGTGACCATTTTGCCTCTCTCCAGGTAGTCGATGTAGATCACACCTTGTGAATCCCAGAAAACGGTGGCCATCACCTTTCCAGCCGATGGGGCAGTCTTCGCTTTCTTCGGAGCACTTTCGCCGGGTAAAGTCCACTGTTTCGACTGTTTCCTGGTCTCTGGTGTATACCAGTGGATCCATGTTTCATTGACTGTCACGAAACGATGCAGAAACTCCTTCGGATTGCGCTTAAACAGCGTCAGACATTGCTCTGAAGTTGTCTCACGGTTGCGCTTGTTGTCCGGAGTGAGCAAACGCAGCACCTATCGCGCTGACAGCTTTCTCATACCCAAATTTTCATGTAGGACACGACCCACGCGGTCTTTTGAGATGCCTACGATCTTAGCTCTCTCGCGCACCTTCAATCGTCGATCTGCCAATACGAGATCGTGAATTTTTGTCACGTTATCCTCCGTGATAGCCGTTTTCGGAGCACCTGGACGTGGCTCTTCAAAAATCGACGTGCGACCACGTTGAAACTCGTTAAACCAATTTTTGACGGTCGCCATCGAAGGAGAAGAGTCACCGTACACAGTATCTAAGTGCTTTTTGATTCCGCTGCGCGATATCCCTTCCAAAAACAAGAATCGAATCACCGACCGATACTACTCTTTTTCCATTTTTCAAAAATCAACGGACACACTTGCTTTCACACGCTCTCAAAAATAAACTACAACTCCGATCCGGCTAAAATCTTTACAGTAACCATCGAGAAGGTTGTACTACGTGATAGAATATTTCTTTTGCGAGAGTGACGCCATCGGGCGGTGAGGCTAAGTACTTATAGGACCACCCTCGTATGTATATTATGAGAATTAAAAATGTAAAATACTTAAAATAACAGATATAAAAAATTTAACCGAAATTATTTTTACAGCTTAGATTATTTGCACGGTACAGGTCATGGCGTAGGTGCTTATTTAAATGTACACGAATATCCTACCATGATTTCATGGAAACCGTATCCCGACGATCCTGGTCTACAAAATGGAATGTTTCTGTCAAACGGTAAGTGTATTTGATAAATCTGGCTTTAAATGTGTATTTTTTTATTTCTGTATAAGATTATAACGAAACAATTGAATATTTCAATAAACAAAAAAAGAATAATAATAGTTAGTATTTTACTGTTTTTAGTAATGTCTCAACGGGTCATGTAGATTATAAGTTTTCATATAATGACAAGGGTTCAGTTAGTTCAGTAACATTAATTTTGAGAGTGAATTGGTAACATAATTTAAAAACACCAGCTGTTATCAAACAGTGCAAATTGTAAGTTCTCATAACTGTGTTGTAAAAATCGTTCTAACAAAGTTGATATTCTTTATCTTAAAATAACTGATAAATACTTTAATTTTTTTCATTTTAAGTTCTAAAATATTAATTACGTGCACCGGAAGGTACCTTCAACCGTAACATCTTCTTTTCGAAAAAAGTGGTTTACAAGACTTTTTTGAATGTCAGAGTGAACGAATATTTACAGTAATTAAATATAATAATCAATAAGGGAAAAAGGGGTCAAAAATTGAAGTTTATTACCGTTTAACAATAACTGTTATTTTGTCAGCAATTTTGGTAATCTCTTCAGGCTAGTCAATAACAATAAAATTACTATGTTTAGGATAGACATTATATCTGATAGCCAGTCGAACTAAAAATATTTTTAGTTCGTTGTCATTTTTAGATCATTGGCTATGAGAATTCTTCCCGAGCTTATATACAATTTAATCATTATTAACTAGTCTGAGAAACTCAACAAAATTTCTCTTTTTGTAAAACTAGATTAATAAGATAAGTATTACAGTTAAGGGGACCTATTTAGTAATCTTACATGAGATTTTTTTAATTTAAAAGAAAGAAAATAAAACTATCTACTAATTACTTTAAGATGCTGGATATTCAAGATAATTTTTTTGGAACGATTTTTATACCACTGTAAAGAGAATTTAATTTTTTACTGTTTCACATCTACCAATCTCTTAAATAGCTCCTTTCTTCACTTACAAGGATATTTGTCTATAATTCAAATTCTGAAATGTATAGAAAATTTTAATAAAAGACTATATTATACTGTGCAACGGTCGTCTATTATTATCGGCGCGTTCGTGATTCGGCAGCACTGGGTGTGCTGGAGCGAGTGATTAGGAGAGAGAGGGTGCGCGCGAGGGTTTAAAGTCGGTAAAAGCGTACGAAACAGTAACGACCGAGCCGGCATCAAGTTTGATTGTTTTCCCTCATTGTGCGCACTGTGTGTTTTTGAGAAAATAATAAGTCCCACACGCTGAAGTTGAAGAAGTAAGTGTGATAGTAAGTGTGATAGTAGCTCAGTTCGGCATTTGATTAGCTGTGACAACTGCAGAGAAGGTCTCCTCGAGAATAATTACAGGAGCGGACGGAAGGAGCACCTGCCAAAATCGTCGACGAGTTCGGTTACGGCTGATCACTGTAATCGCTACGTAGGATTGGTGCACCTTTATTTAGTCGCGTTATCGATAAGATGGACCGTTTGATACTCGCTATATGCGCGCATTAAATTTTTATGTATACGCGCCAAGCGTTTAATCCACGCTTTCGTTATTTCCTCTCTCTCTATCTTCAGGGACTATTTGTAATTCCGTATGCGAGCGTCAGCCTCCCGGCCAAAATCGAGACTGTATTATTTAACCGAATTGAAGATATTATTGATAACTCGTCGTTCCACGTTCTTTTGTTCTTCTTTTGTTCTCTTGTTACATCAACACGCCTGTTTCCCGGAAATATTTAAATGGATCTGGCATAGGGGATTGTAGGAGGTAAATATTAACATCCACACAAGATATAAAAGACCAGCACTATCGATCAAGTGTCTTAAGGTGAGTTCACTATGGGAAGCAGTATGAAATTCGAGCGAAGTATCAGTACTAAAGGCTAATACACGTATCTATATACGTACTGAACAGGGCAGCGGTTACTCTACATCGAGGAGCTTTGTGCGCATATGTACTCCCTATGTACTGAATACCCCTTCCCCTGTTATAGTATAAGTATATTATTATTTACCGTAAAATAAACAATAATGTTATTAATAAAGAAGAAAATATGAAAATTTTATATGCAACAGTATCCAAAGTATTCGCTATTAGAAAATGTTCAGTAAATGAACCGGGTCAACAATAATTATATTTTTCCTTTATATTCATATGTATGCTTCATGTCTACTCTTATTTTATTTTTTGTAATTAAACAGTATAAGTATATATTTTTAAATTGAAATTTATGAAAATATTCCATTACCTCAGGAATATATGTTTACGTAATTGTATAAGTGTGTTTTTGACTTTGTTTTATTTATGCTTTATAGAGAGGAATTCTTAATTGATTGAAGCAATTAACTCTGGTGAGATTAAAAATCCGGTCTCAACTTTAACGCTACATTGTTTCGAAACCTCCACAGCCAGAAGATCCGTGAGACGTGTCATAAAACCTTTTTTTTTATGTTTGTAGAAATCTAAAACTATAATCCAAAATTTCTCGGACAAGCACTTACTGATCTTTTTATTACTACTTTAGCAAAGTTTATTATGATCTTTTATAATTCCTCTTCAATGCTATATTTTCTGCTCCTTCAATTTTTTGGTTTCGATTGCTTTCCTAATACAAGTAGCTTTTCGTCCAATATCTTTTGTTTCGTCAACGTGATTGTTATAATGATTATGATGTATGGTTGTTGTTACGATCTTTCGATGGTTAATTCAGTTCTAGCTTTTCTGCTAGATTTCTTCTACCATATTCATATGTAGGGTATCCAAACAAGTTGTACTCCAGACGCTTTTTCGTTGGTTGATTGATTCTTTCACTGATAGTCTAAAGACTTAGTATCTTTATTCACATCTTTAGTTACTCAGAAAACTATTGTAGTGGGAAATTTCAGAGTTTTGCTGAATTATAAGCCACAGAGGCTGAATTTAATGAATTTTGATTTTTAATTGGTTGTTATCAAGTATCACTTCTTTACTCATAACATCGCAAACTAAAATTATTCTATAACGAAGCTTGAAAGAGCTAATGTTTCCTTGATCAATAGACTATAGTACTTACGTCATATTACGTGAACAAAAATATTAGTTCTATATTTTTCATTATGGAACTGAACTATGGAAACTGCAAAGGTCCATAAAAATCAAACTTTTTTCTCTGCTAAACTTCTAATTTAGACTGAGAAACCAATTTTTAAAAATACTATAGATAATCTGAGTTTTTTTGTTAAGTTAATATTCACATAGCTTTGTTTTGATATTTTTATAACAACACGGATCGTCAGACTTCCAAAAAACATGCAAACAAAGTTGTTATTATCGTCTCAATTGAGTCGTAAGGAATAGTTATATATACATTATTTAGTTTTCCATTGTTAAAATTTTCTCCTATGATATCTCATTCGGTGTACTCTCATAGCAAAAAGCTATGTCGGCAGCGAAGAGATTATTTCCGAACTTCGTTATTTCAATTTTGTCCAAACGCGTAGTTTTCGTACTTTCTGCTTTCAACAGACATATCAAGAGCCTTATACTAAAAAATATTGACCAGCACGATTAACAATGCAAACCGAATGTAAGATTTAGAAATAAACCCTCAGTTGAGCCATTTAATTAGACAACCTCCAATTCAACTTCACCAATTTCAATATTCTTTTAATATATAGTAGACCATTAAAAAATAAGTAACTAATGTTTTATTTATAGTCGGGTAAACACTTAAGGGAAATCCGCCCTCAAAGTCCGCGCTCAAAAATGTATTTTGCAATTTATGTCAAAATCGAATTAATATTTTACATAATTTCATTTTATTTCTAATCTAATGTGAAACTAGTGCATGCAGTTTCAAGCATAATATATGCCACTCCTACTTTTTTTATTGACATTTCAGGGATATTGGAAATGTCAAATATGTCTTAAAACTGGACATATTGCAAGACTGTTGTTTGAAAGCTCATGTGAATACCGTGAGCAGCATAGAATGTCAATTATGTGGACGATCTGGACATACTGCAAAAGATTGCAGTATTTCATTAACAATGAATAATTTTAACAAAAATAGACCTCAATTTATGGATAACTCTAAATTGAAATGTCACTTTTGTAAACGCAAATGACATTTTCTTGCTCATTGTTTTAAACAGCGAGCTGTATTGTTAAACCAAAACTCGAGTTCGGGAAACAAGCAACAGTCCTCGCAACTTCAATTGCATTGATAAGTACAATTATATCACCATTGCATCAAACAGAAGTCAACGAATTATCTCTTTGCCTGATTGCATAAATCAAGAAAGAACTCATGCCAGGGTCCCATTAGTCGATGCATGGTTTTTGGGAGATACGAAATTAAAAATAATGTTAGATACTGGATCTGAAACTAACATTTTGAAAAGAAACTTGGTGAAAGATTATTCAAAATACATTAACAATTCACAACGGCGTTGGTTAAAGGAGTAGGATTAAATTCTTTTCCTACGATTCTAATCTAATAATAATTAAGCTAACAACCTTGAAATGCTATACTCGAAGCAGGCTATTTTTTAGAAAATAAAAAGACTATATTACACACCAATTTTTACTTGGAAAACACTCCATATCTTTTCAAAAATCGGAAGATTATATTCGTATAAATTTCTGCTCCGTATATAATGTAAATACAAATGATAAAATAACACCTCGAATTCGTATTACTAATCCTCCTATAAATACTTAGGAATACTTTTTATTTGATACAGTATCAGAAGTTTATCTAATCAAAAAACAAATTACTATTAAGCGATGACATAGATAAAAATAAAATAATCAATATTAAAGGTATTGGAGATAACCACAAAATACACTTGGTACCAAAGAAATTAATCTGTTCGGTAGAAATACTATTTTTCATGCAGTCGAAGATGATTTTGATATATTGCATAAAGGGATTTTATTTTTCGAAGATTTCACAGCAATTATCGATTTTGAAAGTAATATTTTCAAAGCATAGAGTTTTTC